TCTTTTTTAGATGACTGTATCATACCTGTTTTACTCTACATTAAAATTTTTTTAAATAAAAATACTTTATGCAAGCTGAAAATAGATGGGAGTTATTATTCAGATTTGAAAACAAAGGATATTAAGAAATTAAATGTAATGGAAAAATAAAACATTAGAGTCCCCAAACATTGTGCATTTCACAATCCTCATTGATACACTTCCTGGAAACTGCTCACTGGAATTTCCCTCCCCCTAAGACATAATTGAAATAGGATTTTTGACCTGTTAAAAATCTCTTGTTAAAAGGAGACAATTTTTTTAGAAGGTCATAAACAAGAAGCTGTTCTCAGTAGGGTGACATTGACCCACTAACAGGAAATTTAGCTTCATGAAAGTCAGAAAATAGTAGCTATAAGGATAAGCAAATAAAGACTAAGCAGATTTTCTACCATGTTTTAATGTTAACCTGAGAGTGCCTGTTGAAAATGTCAGCTTCTTGTTTTCTCACTACTGTATCTATCTCATTTGAAACCACAAGATACATGAATAGAAAAGTTCTTAATAAAAATCTTGAGTAAACATGTCCCTTTGGTGCACTGAATTTTGATGGTGTATTCGGAGATCTGACATATCCGTCAGGGCCTAGGTATTTGCCCAGCAGTCAGGTGGAAGAAAGAATGCTAGATTTAAAGACAGAATACTGCTGTTCTAATTCCCAAGTTACGTTCCTTGTCCCATGAGTGTGGGCCAATTCCCTCTTCCCCGAGGCCTTGTTTCCTCTGCAGTGAAGTGAGGCTACTCAAGCCTGTGCCCTGGCCTACAAGCAGGAGGGTGCAGTCAGAGATGAACAAACCTGGCTGCTAGTTAAAGTGGTAAGGACAGATTTTAATCAGTAGTAACTATTGCAACAGGGAAAAGAGTCCAGCATGAACTGAACTCAACTTTGTGCGGAGGTGACTGGGCATTTTAAAGGGAGAACGAAGGGTTAGAGAGCAGGTGAGAAGGGGCTCAGTAGAGTCAGGGAAGTGAAAAATTACAAAGTTTTCATTGGTATAAACGCGATTGGGACAGCTATGTCTGCTAGCTGGCAATAATCAAAGTTAGGGTTCTGTCCTCCTCTGGAGACTGGGAGACAGAGGTCTTATTCTCAGGTGTTGTCTGGAACAGTAAATTTTTTGGCAGCCTTGAGTTTTCCCAGTCAAGTACTTTACAGGGGGTCTAAGGTCATCCTGGGGATGCAGCCTTGAGCTGTTAGAAACTGCATTTGTGTTCATTCAAGTCTTTATAGAGCAAGCATGAGGCCGAATTGAGAAGAGGGCTCAGAGGAGCCTGGCTAGCGTTTGGTCAAGGACAGAATGTTTGTCCGTATCTAGTTACTGTTGGTGACTTCAGCCAAATATGGAAATTTCATTATTTGTTCATCTAATCACTAATGACATTTTAATTAGGAAAAGAAACCAACATGAACCAAATTTATATACTCATAAGAGTTCTCATTCTAATGTATTTCCGTCCTTTTTTTAAACATTGAGTGCTACCTAGCAGTTGTTCATGGTTTATAGATGGTTACATGGTAACAGCTATTTGGAAAGAAAAAGTCTCATCCTTTCAGCAGTGTGGAAATTTAGCTTCATATGAATAAAATGATACCTTGTACAATTGTTTTATATAAAAGGGTAATTTAAATAAAAAGAAAATATTTCATGAAATGTAAGGTTGTTGTGTAGACATAAATAGGACCCGTATTTCCAGGCACTGGATCTAAGCATGATGCTGTTTACATTACAACATGTCTATGTAAAAGAATTGTTTTTTCAGGTAAAACATCAAAAGCAAAATCAAAAAACCCAGAAAATTTTAGCCAGAGAAATGTTAGAAAACTAAATGAAACTGGTCAATAAGATACATTGTGCAATATTGGTACAGGTAATACTTCTGTGCATTTTTAGTTAGATTTATAGAAGGGAAGTTTATCTCATGTTACTTATATTCCCAATTTTTTCTAGAGTAAGTTGATTTTTACGTAATATATAGTAACTTTACATAAGAAGTTAGAAAGAAAGAAAAAAACGCAGTCTTTTCAAGTAAAAGAAACATGCCAAATGTGCAGAAGCACCTGAGTCTTGCCTGGCATTGGGGAATCCATTGCTGTGTTGGTTCTTCTGTGTTCTTGTTAGATATGTCCGTTGTCCTCGCAAATACTGTGATGAACATGAGTCGAAATAAATAGTAAATACTTTTTAATTCTGAAGGATATCTGTTCTCAATAAGCTGCATACTTACATTTGGCCTTTCTTTAGTTCTGTAATGCTTTAAAGTGCTTACTAGTGGCAGAGCAGTGGCCTCTTTGTGAGAATAAATGGGATGTTCTTACTGCATAGTTTTCTCATATTATCTCAAATACAATATGCTCGTATTTTCAGGATTCCAGTCAAATTGAGCTATTAAAAGAATTAATGGATCTCCAAAAGGATATGGTGGTCATGCTGCTGTCCATGTTAGAAGGTAGTTTTGATTATACTTTCAAGTTTTCTTTATTTTTTTATTTTAAGGATCAATATGTGCTTGTTAATTTACAGAGTCAGCATGCAGCAAAGAATAATATAATACTAAGATGTGATGAATACCTTGGATTTATTGCTGGCTTTATTATTCTTTTTATCAAGTTAGTTTTTTTTTTTTTTCCAAAGGGAAGCTGGGCACGGTGGCTCATACCTGTAATCCCAGCACTTTGGGAGGCTGAGGCAGGAGGATTGCTTGAGCCTAGGAGTCTGAGGTTGCAGTGAGCTATGATGAATCCACTGCACTCTAGCCCAGGCAACAGAGTGAGACCTTGTCTCAGAAAAAATAGAAATAGAAAAGTACCTGCCCTATAGACACAAGAACATTAAATGAAATATTGTCTATGATAGTGATTTTGCAACCCTAAAGCATTGTGCACATGTTCATTTTTAATATTAATATGAGACTGGATTTCAGTTTATGGCTGTTGGCCCCATTTTCTTTATATAAAACATGTTGCTTCTTTGATTAATTTGAGGAAAATAAAATCAGCTTTTGTTCAAATATTGTTTTATGTATGTCAGTCTAATTACTTTGTAAATACGGTTTTGCGTGTGTTTTGTAATCACTTTTTAAAACTGTAGTTTACAAATAATTCTACATCTTTTCCTGGGACTTCATACATTGGGGGATAAACAAGGACATATTCTTGATTCAGATGTCATAAAAGATCTATATTGTTATTTTCTTTATAGATACTAGTTTTGTCAAGAAAGTTTATTTTAAACAAATGCAATTGTTTTACCACCAGGTAATGTTGTCAATGGAACAATCGGCAAACAGATGGTTGACATGCTTGTGGAATCTTCCAACAATGTAGAGATGATTCTCAAATTTTTTGACATGTTCTTAAAACTAAAGGATTTGACATCTTCTGATACATTTAAAGAATACGACCCTGATGGCAAGGGGGTCATTTCCAAGAGGGACTTCCATAAAGCAATGGAGAGCCACAAGCACTACACACAGTCAGAAACCGAGTTTCTTTTGTCTTGCGCGGAGACAGATGAAAACGAAACGCTCGACTATGAAGAGTTTGTCAAACGGTTCCACGAGCCTGCAAAGGACATTGGCTTCAACGTCGCTGTCCTTCTGACAAATCTTTCTGAGCACATGCCCAACGATACCCGACTGCAGACTTTCCTGGAATTAGCAGAGAGCGTGCTGAATTATTTCCAGCCCTTTCTGGGCCGCATTGAGATCATGGGAAGCGCCAAACGCATCGAGAGGGTTTATTTTGAAATCAGCGAGTCCAGCCGAACCCAGTGGGAGAAGCCCCAGGTCAAGGAGTCCAAGAGGCAGTTCATATTTGATGTGGTCAACGAGGGCGGAGAGAAGGAGAAGATGGAGCTCTTCGTCAACTTCTGTGAGGACACCATCTTCGAAATGCAGCTGGCGGCTCAGATCTCCGAGTCGGATTTGAACGAGAGGTCGGCGAATAAAGAGGAGAGTGAGAAGGAGAGGCCGGAAGAGCAGGGGCCGAGAATGGGTTTCTTTTCCATTCTGACGGTCAAGTCGGCCCTGCTTGCCCTCAGGTACAATATCCTAACCCTTATACGAATGCTCAGTCTAAAGAGCCTGAAGAAACAGATGAAAAAAATGAAGAAGATGACCGTGAAAGACATGGTCACAGCCTTCTTTTCATCCTACTGGAGTATTTTTGTGACCCTCTTGCACTTTGTGGCCAGCGTTTTCAGAGGCTTCTTCCGTATCGTTTGTAGCCTGCTGCTGGGGGCAAGCTTGGTAGAAGGGGCTAAAAAGATCCGAGTCGCGGAACTCCTGGCCAACATGCCAGACCCCACTCAGGATGAGGTGCGGGGAGATGGGGAGGAGGGAGAGAGGAAGCCCATGGAAGCCGCCCTGCCTTCCGAAGACCTGGCAGACTTGAAGGAACTGACAGAGGAAAGTGACCTCCTTTCAGACATATTTGGCTTGGATCTGAAGAGAGAAGGAGGGCAGTACAAACTAATCCCTCACAATCCAAACGCCGGCCTTAGTGACCTGATGAGCAACCCAGTCCCTATCCCTGAGGTGCAAGAAAAATTTCAGGTAAGTTTTCTCTAAGGCACAGCAGTGTTCTCTCTGGACTTCGGGTGGGTACAATAAATGAACTTCAGACCAGGTTGCATGCTAGCGCCAGAGTGGTATTAAATACGTGACTCAAATTTCCAAAGAGAAATATGCTTTTTGGTAGACAAAGCTAGCCTTTTTAAGATTCTCTACAAGTTATTAAATTCTCTTAAACTATGACAGTGTAAGCTTAAGTACCCACCCTAATGACATTAGTCAGTGGAGCCATCATTCCATCCACAAATAGTTCTTGAGTATTTACCATGTATCTGGTAACATTGGGTATCATAGGGAATTCAAAGGTAAGATGTAGTCGCTGCTTTCAAATCGCCTTAAACAGTTTATTAGAAAAAACTAACACACATGTAGAAACTAGAAAGTGATTAAATGTTAAATAGTACAGGCAGTACACAGTAGGGGTTGCTTATGTTCAGAAAATGGAAACACCAGTATGGTTTAAGGTAGTTAGGTGACTGGTGGCATCTAAATTGTCCCTGAAGGAGGAGTAAGACTTGAGTAGGTAGACAAGGTAAAGAAGGGTATTTCTGAAATGAGAAAAGGAAGTCGGAGAAGCCCAAAAGTCCGTTCCTACCACTGGTGCAGAAGGGAAGTGTGCAAAAGAAGGGGTGGTGTTTGGGCCAGTGGCATTTCTATCTCAGTGTAAGCAAGCGGATACAGTTTGACATGTGGTCCTATGGCTTCCCAAACTCATTCAGAGGTGATGTGTCATCCTGGTTTTCTTTTCCCCATTTGCCCATTCAAGGAACAGAAGGCAAAAGACGAAGAGAAAGAAGAAAAAGAAGAAACCAAATCTGAACCCGAAAAAGCTGAGTATGTATAATTTCATGTTTCGGTCAGTCTCTTTTTCTTACACTCTCTTTTCAGGAGCTGTAAGGGAGAATCTTACATTGCAAAGGAGCCACGTGATGAGATCTGCCATCTCAGCGGAGAGGCTCTGATGGCCGGGACCTCAGGCTCTGGGCAGACAGCAGGGTTGACACTCCCTCACTGGCCATTCTTGTCTTTTTCTCCTTGTTGCATAAGGATTCCCCTTGCGTGATTTTGTCAGCAGAAAAGACTCCAGCGATTCCATGGAATGTTCCCCGTAAGAGGATTGATGGCCACAGTTCTGTCTTTAAAACCACACATGTATTCCTGTCCTTTTAAAGAAGGGCGGAAGCAAACATTGCAGATGTAGTTGCACAGAATCCTGTGCAGTGATGTTCCTCAAAGGCGAGTCCCTGGGCCGCACCACAGAGGTCCTGACTCCGCAGGTCTGGGATGGGGCCCGGCAATCTTCATTTCACCCACACGCCGGTGCTGTGGAGCACAATTATAAATGCAGCAATAAAAATGAAGAGCCGGATTTGAGGCAGTGAAAATGAGTAACTCCCTCATAATACCGGGTTTCTGTTACGAATTGAAGGATACATCTTTTCCCACATTTATGTAGTTTTATGTGCACATTTTGAAAAATTGAGGAAAGAAATAAAACTTTTAGGTGCCTATAGTGCTGCTCATCTCACATAGCATTTTATTTTTCTCCCCCGTGCTGTCGTTTTCTTTGGCCTCTTTTCATTGTGTGTTCTTTGCAATCAGCTCTATTCATTGTCGTAGATCTTGCACTGTTGGGTCAGTTGTAAAAATGGCCACGTAAATGACTGTTAGGATAAAAAGTAGGTGCAGGGCACGGCAGGCATTTCACCGGCAATTCTTTAACGTTACAAATAATGTTAGATATACCTTCTATGGGTTAAGGTTAAGTTTAGCTTATATATCTGTGGGTTATGTATGTATGACTTCACTTTAATGAAAGATTGACATTTTGCATCTAGATGGTATCAAATGTCACTGCTTCCATTTCCATTATTGTCTAGAATTAATATAACATTAATACAATTAATTAAATTAATACATTTTATTTAATTAATAAAACTAATTAAAATTAATACATGCCAATACATAAGTATATAGACATACTTTATACATTTGAACAACCAAGTGTATGGGCCTCTGATTTTAAATCTTAATGGCCAGGTAATGTTAAAAATTGAACATTAAAATCATAATTTAAAAATGAGGTATGTTGGAAAGTCACAGCAAAGGAAAAAAGTCATCTTCATTGTTATTCTCTTTTTCAATTAAATGTTTTTATTGCACAATTAGAAGGGAATATGGCACATACGATATAAAGATTCTTTAAGACTGTAAAATGTCCTCTAGATTTGAATGCCACAGAATTATCCATCTACAGGGGGCTGTGAACAGCAAGAAATCCTATCCCTGATCCTAAATTTAGAATATTATCATTCATTGGAAGAGAAATCAATTTTCAAAGACCATACTATGATCTGAAATATTTGCTCACTTGCATATTTTTGTACAATGCCTGTTTAGTTCTTTAGTTCCGGGATAGCTCATCTGCCGTTCCTTTATTTTCCCAGGGGAGAAGACGGAGAAAAGGAAGAGAAAGCCAAAGAAGACAAGGCGAAACAAAAGTCAAGGCAGCTCCACACACACAGATACGGAGAACCAGAAGTTCCAGAGTCTGCGTTCTGGAAGAAAATCATAGCGTATCAACAGAAACTTCTAGTAAGATGTTTCAGAATGAATATTGTTACTGATATTGTATGAAACCATAATAATTCAGGCTCAGTAAATATTTATTGACCTTGTCTTGGGTAGTAATAAGGGAACCAGTTCAGTCTTACACATATGTTTTATTTACTTATCTTAGTCTATCTATTTTTTATCGGAAATGCCTTTGGTCCACTGCTCCCTGTTGTCAAGCCCATAACCCATTCGTGCTACCTGAAACCCTTCAATTTAGTAACTGCTATAACAGGATAGCACTCCCAGTGTCTTCCCACAAAGCCATTAGGACAACTCGGTAAATAGGAGACTCTGCGATAGAGAAAGCAAAACATGCCTCCTGGGGGTATAAGTAATTCCTACTAATGTTCCAGAACTGGATAAGTCAGTATTTCTAAATATCACTCTTTTATTTAAAAATCCAGTGATAAAAATGCTAACTCTATGAGCCAACTTTCCCTTGATGATAAGGTCTGTTCAAAATCACCCTTCACGTGGAGAAAAATAAAAGAAAAATGAGAGGATGAAAAAAGATGATAGTTCTATATGTATCCTATACATTCTGCAGAAGTGTTCCCCAGATTGCTAAAATATATATTCTTATTTGGAAAACAAGGAGAAAGATATAGTTTTCTATCTCTGTTCGTATTCATATTGGATTTTTTTTTTTTTTTTGAGATGAGGGTCTCATTACTCAGGCTGGTCTTGAACTCCTGGCCTCAAGCGAGCCTCCCATCTCAGCCTCCTGAGTAGCTGGGATTACAGGTGCGAGCCACTGCACCTAACTATATTGGAATTCTTAAAAATCTTTTTATAAATGTGTCTATATATAATATTATATATATAATTTCTTTAAAGGAGGAAAAGGGTAGGAGATGAATGTGTAGAATCAACCTACAAGAGGTACTAATAATATCAGAACTAAAAATTAGGAACAAAACCCCTCATAATAAAGCTATTTGTAAGGCAAAGTCATATTTAGCATTTTATACCCCTTGAGAAATCAAAAATAAACAATTGAGAAACCCAGTGTACTCTAGAACTCATCAGGGAACAGGATTGTCCTCAGTAATTATATATTCTACATGCTTATTTATAAACATGTAAATGTATTATGTATTTTATAAACATATGCAAACATATTTTAATTAATAGTTTTAACTATGTTTCCTTAAACCATCTTGTATTTTTCCCACATTGTTTAATACAAAGCACAGCGAACATGAGCTGGACGTGGTGGTGTGCGCCTATAGTCCCAGCTACTTGGGAGCCTCAGGCAGGAGGATCACTTGAGCCCAGGAGTTTGAGGCTTCAGTGAGCTATGATGATGCCACTGTACTCTACCCTGGGCAACAGAGCAAGACTCTGTCTCAAAAAAACAAAAACACAAAGCACACTGAACATAAATGTTTTGTAGCTAACTCTGTCTGAATAATTGATTTGATATGCCACGGTGGTTTCCATGGCTGCAGGTATAGCTCTATTCTAGATGTTTTAGAGGTTGAATGGGCTCCACAATACCGTGCAATAGAACTGGTGGATTCCTGAACTACAGTTGTGAAAACCAAGCAATAGGTTCTTCTTCCAGCTCTCTGTGTCAGGGTTCACACATTCTCTTATCTCTGCACAGCTCCTCTACTTTCCTGCACTTCTCTTTGCAATCTGACTCACCAATTTATATGCTCAAGACTGATCATGGCCATGTCAGGCCAACAAAGGTCTCTTGTCCCCCAGGTCTCTGTGACCTCCCAGCTCAGATAACCAGGGTTGGCTAACTCAGCCTCTGTGACCCAGGCCCGCCTTCCAAGGAGAACCAATGTGGCTGACCCAGTTCAGGTGTGGTGGCCAGCCTTGGTCCAGTAAGGTGTGGCAGTAAAGACAGGGTCCTGGGTGGAAAAATCACACCAACAGAGGTGGGTGTGTACATGGAGGGGGATATCATTTTGAGGTGTTATGATTTTGATGTGGCTTTGCGATACTAAAGCCCCTGGCATATCCACTTGTATTCTTTGTAGACATCTCCCACTTAATATTAACACAAATACTTTATTTCCACCATAGTTTATTTCATTAAACTCACTTCACCTCTAGGTTGTTTTTTTTTTTCCAGCTCAACAAATTGTACCAACCATTCACTTAGTTGCTCAGTCCCCAAAATCCAGAAGTTATCACCTTTGAGTCCTTTCTTTCTTTCCCACCTCAAATATAATCCAACTATAACTCTTCTCAACTCTTCCTGCCAAATATATCCAGAATCTGCCCAGTTCTTGCCATTTCTATGTCTTCCATTGGATCCAAGCCACCACCGTAAACATCACCTCTTCCTGCAGTCCCAAAATAACTCTCTACCTGGACCCCTTGCGTCCACTCCTGTCCCTCCTCTCTATTCTCCACACAGTAGCTGGAGTGATCTTTCCAAGTCATGATCTGACTGCATCAAACCCTCTTCACACCCTCCAGTAGCTTCCCATCCCACCTAGAATGGAATAATAATTATTAATATAATATTTATTGTAGATAAAAACTATAATAGTTATTACAATAATAAAACTAATAACTTTCCCTATATTAACTTATTTAATCCTCAAAGCAAAATTGTGAAGTAGGTTCTATTGTCATCTCCACTTTGCAGATGAGCAAAGTGATGCTGCAGGAAAGAGTAAGTCATTTGTCCACTTTCCACAACTGGTAAGTGGTTGAGATGGGCTTCATATCCAGGGAGTGTGGCCCCAGAGGTCATAGATGGAGCCACTGCACTGTAAAAGACAACACACACTTTTACCAGAAGGCTGCAAAGCCCTGCCCCTGCTCACCTGTCTGACCTCATGACCCCACAACTCACCCACCCCACTCTCTCTTCTTCTCCCTATGCTTCCTTCTTACTACTACTCCTCGAGCGCACCAACACACTGGTAACTCAGGGCCTCTGTCCTCGTTGCTCCCCTCTGTGACACACTCTTCCCCCAGATGTTCGCTTGACTTGCTCCCCTACTGCCTTCAGGCCTCTCTGCTCAAATGTCACCTCCTGAGATAAACCTTCCCTGACCAACACCATCTAAAATAGCACCTCCATCCCCTAAGCTCTTTTTTTTAATTTTATTTTATAAATGTTTTTGACCCGATGTGTTTTTCTTTATAGCATTTAGCATTCCCTGCAATTATGTTTTTTATTTGTGGATATGCTTTTTTATTCTTTGCCTCCTCCATAGTGGCAGAAATGTTCTCCTTCACTGTTAGGTCTGCGGCACCAAGAATGGTGCTGAATACATAGTAGGCCTGCGATCCATAGTTTAGGGTAAATGGTTGAATGCTTTGTTTAAATTGTCTGCAAATTTCAAGTTTCTTGATTCAGTGACCTTGTCATAATTTTTTTCACCTTCAGAACTATTTTGCTCGCAACTTTTACAACATGAGAATGTTAGCCTTATTTGTTGCATTTGCAATCAATTTCATCTTGCTCTTTTATAAGGTATGTACATCTTAGTCTTTTAATAACCAGTATAAAACTGCATGTAGACTAAAATAAATATAAGGATTTCACAGATCTACTAGTGCAGCAGTCCCCAACCTTTTTGGCACCAGGGACCAGTTTCATCGAAGATAATTTTTCCACAGACAGGGTGGGGGTGCGTGGGATGGTTTCAGGATGATTCAAACGCATTACATTTATTGTGCACTTTATTTCTGTTATTACATTGTAATATATAATGAAATAATTATACAAGTCACCATAATGCAGAAATCAGTGGGAGCCCTGAGCGTGTTTCCCTGCAACTAGACGGTCCCATCTGGGGGTGATGGGAGACAGTGACTGATCTGACAGGAGGCAGAGCTCAGGTTGTGATGCGAATGATGGGGAGCGGCTGTAAATACAGATGAAGCTTTGCTGGCTCTCACCTGCCAGTCACCTCCTGCTCTGTGGCCCAGTTCCTAACAGGCCAAAGATGGTACTGGTCCATGGCGTTGGGGACCGCAGTACTAGTGAACACTTCCAAACCTAGTGTAAAATACATTTTAATGAAAGATAACCTGACCAAGCACACCACTGTTATGTAGGAAGGCAGGATAGATTTGTTCCTTGCAACTAAGTGAGAAATGCCCAAAGTGAAAAGCATTTGATTTGGAAGAAGGTTTACTCACAGTATACCTAGGCTAAATTAGCTAAATATCTTACTTGTTACTACTTACTTGTTACTGGGTGGGCATACCTGTATTATATTAAATTCTTTTGATAACTGAGAAGACAGCTTAGCCATCTAATTTTTTCTGCATGCTTTGGAATGCTCATAACTTTTGATTGGATTACAATGAATTTAAAAAGTGTGTTCATTATTTGCCTTTGTTTTTTTTTTTTTATTTCAGCATATTATGGGGGTACAGATGTTTAGGTTACGTATATTGCCCTTGCCCCCCACCCCCGCCTAAGTTCGAGTTTCAAATATGTCCATCCTTCGGGTGATGCGCATTGCACTCTTTGTGTATGCATATACCTGTCCCCTCCTCCCCCCTCCCGCCTCCCCCCTGCTCAACATCCGTATACCATGGAGTACTATTCAGTTTTAAGAAACAATGGTGATATAGCACCTCTTGTATACTCCTGGATAGAACTGGAACGCATTCTACTAAGTGAGGTATCCCAAGAATGGAAAGACAAGCACCACATGTACTCACCATCAAATTGGTATTAACTGCCTTTGGTTTTTTGAAAAGCTATCTTTTTAGCCTTTGGAGTTAGTCCTTTCATTATGCAATGAGTTCACATCCAACTATTTGCTAAAAAGGCTGTGTTTCCCTTGTTTTTTGTTTGCAATGATGTGCTAAATGCAGCAAACTGACTGTACTTTTAATGGTTTGAATCAGGTCTCCACTTCTTCTGTGGTTGAAGGAAAGGAGCTCCCCACTCGAAGTTCAAGTGAAAATGCCAAAGTTACCAGCCTGGACAGCAGCTCCCACAGAATCATCGCAGTTCATTACGTCCTGGAGGAGAGCAGTGGCTACATGGAGCCCACGTTGCGTATCTTAGCTATTCTCCACACGGTCATTTCTTTCTTCTGCATCATTGGATACTACTGCTTGAAAGTAAGATAGTAAGGCACCAAGGTCTGTGGGTGTCCGTGTGTGTGTGTCTGTTGCAGGTTGGACTTCTGGGGAAGCAGATTCTAAGATGGAAATTTCATGCATGAAGTTTATTAGGGAATGCTCTGTGAATCAACATCTGTGGGGCAAGTGGAGAAAGCAGGATGGGGCAGAGGGAGAAGTTGGTGCAGACACAGTCTCTGAAGCTGGGATGCCCTTTCAGGGTTGTCCTGGCCTCTGCATTGGAGCAGGGCCTTTCTATATCTATATTGACTAGTCCTAGGCTGCAGGCTGCCCTGGGAAGGGGATGTGGCCTTGGGCTGTCTTATTGTAGCTTCTTTTCACATAGTGGACAATTTCATCTGTGTCTTGACCCTACAGAACAGTGCTTCCCCACCCACTCTGTCTCGTAGTGATGCAGTGATGCTCCATTGTTTTAGGACTTAGAGCATACATCGAATCAAATCTATGAGTCATTTTGATTGTTCTGTTGTTAGGTCAGTATCTGCTGCCATCTTTGGCAGAAATGCCTCACAGTTTGTCACACCTCACCCAGAAAATAATGTTGCTTTGTCTGTAGAGGCCTGCCAAAGGAGCAGGATGGTTTGGTGAATAGAACCCAAGATAGTCTCTCTGAGTGCTCAGGGCTGCCTGTTACCTGTGCAAACCTCTTTATCTTTTCCTAGCAAGACACCTTTTCACTGTATGCCTTTATTTCACTGAACTCTGCCTCTGGTCATAAAACTTCCAGACGGCACTTGAAAAACCAGGGCCTAGAGTAAAAGACTAGAATGTAAAGTGTTCTTTAGAAACTCCTTTCCTCTTTTTTATTCCCTTGTTTTAGGGAGGTGAATATTCTTGAATAGTTCTAGAATATCTGCATGTTTCTTCTATGTGTGCCTTGTGTAAAGTCTGTCTCTGTGAAAAGAGAATCAATATGTTCTGGACATATTTTGGCAAACTGACAAAGATTTTTGCTGATGTTGAAATGAAAATTTATCTCTAAATAGCATGTGGGCACTCTGAGCATAGAATTATTAAAAAGAGTTCTCAAGTAAAACTCATTAATAGCATGCATTTTAGAACATTGGTAAGATTGCTAAATTTTATTGTATCTATTTATGTTAAGATATATGTGTGTAAAAGGAGAACAATTTGGCATAATCATCTTTTTCTCTTTAGTATTTAAAAATAATTTCATTAGTGTAATTATCTATAAACCCCTATGTACATATAAATGCATATAAATAATATTGATTATATCTTCTATATTTCCAAAACCTTCTAGATGCTTCTTTCTGCTTGAATATAGCTGATTCATATTCACTCAATTTATACCTTCCTGGAAGTACATGGGAAATATTTCTTTCCAAAAGCTGCTTTGTAAAGATAGTGACTACAGGAGATACCAGTAAATTTAAACTAATTTTAACACGTTTATTTTTCATCTGTAGGTCCCATTGGTTATTTTTAAGCGAGAAAAGGAAGTAGCACGGAAATTGGAATTTGATGGGCTTTATATTACAGAACAGCCTTCGGAAGATGATATTAAAGGCCAGTGGGATAGACTCGTAATCAACACACAGTGAGTAAAAAATTATATGAGACATTTCTGTGCTCAGAAATTTCAAGACATAAAAATATTTTGCTGGAGTTCCTGTAGATTTGTTAAAAGTTTAGCAGAGGTGAATAATAGTTACATATTCAGCCAAGTAAATCAAAAGATGAAGGAAGCACCGTCAGCCTCCTAATGGGTGCTCTCAATTTTTGCCTTCTGTGTTCTGAATTCTTTAATCAAAAATGGCTTTGAGTGCATTTCCACAGCACTGATGGAACTTCGCATTCATTACTCAGTGTTCAGGAAAGTGTATAGCAGGAGGTACATAACCTACAGCACAGGGTTATCTCATCCAAAAGCAGAGGAAGCAAAAAATTATTTATTAAGGAAAGTGTTGTAGCATCGAAGGCAAAAATACTGAATTTCACACTTGTAATATATTTGAGTTATAAACTTTCACTTGGTACCATCAAGCAGCCTAGCATAAAACTAGCTAAATGCTATGACATGATGTAAAATGTCAGACAGAAACAAATACTTTTTCTATCCAATAATTATTGAGCCTATAGGATCAAGATTCAAACGACTAACTGCTGTTCCAGCTATAAATCCATCACAAAAGTGTAATTTTCCACTATAAAAAATATTAATGATACAATATTTTTGAAGAGTTTATATTTACCATTCGAGAGTAAAATATAGTTTCTTATTGTCATTAATTTTGATTATTAAAAGGTTATCATTTCTAATAGGTTCTTAGTTTTCAAATGGGGACAATTTATTTAGAAATTTTACATGTTTATTCTAGATGCTAAATGTTTTGTTTAGCAATTCTACCCATTAATACTAAGTCTAATCAAGTCCCTTTAAGTAAACTCTATGTGTTAGTCAAGGTGCCAGAGTTATGGTTTGGTGCCATGCTCAAAGTTTCTTTGGAGATAACTGGTGGGAAGGAGGTTTTTTCTTCATAGGAAAAAAATGACAGTTTTCTAGATACTTTAATTTTTAATTGAGAAACAAATCTATGTATTGGTATGGTATAAACAAATGACAAATATAGCAATACTATTTATTAATGTAAGTATTATTAAAGTATCAACTTATAATCTTTGTGTGATTTACTTGTATATATACATATGTATTAATATTTAAAATAATTATTCAATGTGCTTATAATGTAGAAAAATTATGGGATAAGATGTCAACCAAATTCATTGTACTTTTATATGGATGGCAGGATATATGTTTACATATTATTGTTAAGTATTTTGTAAATCGAAAATGATATGTTATTATTTATCATTTAAAAAATAATTCTAATTTATTTCTATGCTTTTCTATCTTTTAGGTCATTTCCCAACAACTACTGGGACAAATTTGTTA